ATTTTGTCTTTTTCTTTTTTTAACAATTTCTTTTTTTTAATTTAAAGATTTTTATTTACTTATTTGACAGAGAGAGAGAGATCACAAGTAGGCAGAGAGGCAGGCAGAGAGAGAGGGGAAGCAGGTTCCCCACTGAGCAGAAAGCCCAATGTGGAATTCGATCCCAGAACCCTGAGACCATGACCTGAGCCGAAGGCAGAGGCTTAACCCACTGAGCCACCCAGGCGTCCCTGATTTGATCTCCTCTGTTTTGTTTTTTAAATTCCACACATGGTGAGATCATATGAAATTGTCTTTCTCTGATTGACTTACTTCACTTAACATAATACCCTCTAGTTCCATCCACATCATTGAAAATGGCAAGACCTCATTTTTTGATGACTGACTGGTATGCCATGATATATATTATCACATTATCTTTGTCCATTCATCTGTTGATGAAGATCTGGGCTCTTTCCACAGTTTAACTATTGTGGACACTGCTTCTATGAACATTGGGGTGCAAGTGCCCCTTCAGATCACTACATTTATATGGGATAATATAAATGGTGGGGTAAACATCTATTAGTGCAATTGTTGGGTCAAAAGGCATCTCTGTTTTCAACTTCTTGAGGAAACTCCATACTGTTTTCCAGAGTTGCTGCACCAGCTACACCCACCATAGTGTAAGAGCATTCCCCCTTCTCCGCATCCTCACCAACAACTGTCATTTCCTGGTTTGTTAAATTTAGCCATTCTAATCAGTGTGAGGTGGTATCTTTTTAGGTTTTGATTTGTATTTCCCTGGTGCCGAGTGATGTTGAGTACTTTTTCATGTGTCTGTTGGTCATTTGCATGTCTTCTTTGGAGAGATGTCTATTTAGATCTTTTGCCCATTTGTTGATTGGATTATTTTTGTTCTTTGGATGTTGAGTTTGGTAAGTTCTTTTTAGACTTTGGATATTAGCCCTTTATCTGATAAGATATTTGCAAATTCTTCTCCTGTTCTGTCAGTTGTCTTTGTTTTGTCACTATTTCCTTTCTGTGCAAAAGCTTTTTATCTTAATAAAGTCCCAATAGTTCATTTTTGTCTTTTTTCCCTTGCCTTTGGAGATGTGTCTAGCAAGAAGTTGCTGTAGCTGAGGTCACAGAGGTTACTGCCTGTGTTCTCCTCTAGGATTTTGATGGATTCCTGTCTCACATTGAGGTCTTTCATCTGCTTTGAGGCAATGGGACTTATACCTGACTTGCTGAAGGACTGACACAGCTTGTACTTCTCTTGGGGTGGGAGGAACAGTCATGATCTGCATTCAGTGACCTGACCCTATGGGTCTTAATCCATCCCAATTAGTGGATAAAAGAAAGAAGACAAGACCAACTCAACATAACACATTCCCATCACTTACATGAGGTGGCCTCAAAAGCCAGTCACTCTCCCTTGTCTGTACAGTGTAGGCTAGAGACATAGGCCCACCATGTATAATGTGATGATTAAAACAAATGAGGAAAGAAATCAACACCATGCCCAGCACTGAGTAAGTGTTCTGTAAGCTGTAGTTATAATATAAGTGTTATAATTATTCACTGTTGTCCCAAGAATTTCCCAGCTTCTGTGTCCTGTTCCTGTGAGACTGGGGGGGATACACAACAATATCATCTGTTCTGGCAGTACCGCCCTTATTTTCTGTAATGTATCCAACTGCAGAAAAATCCCTTGGATTGAAGTAGCAGGCCATCCTTGTAGCACAGTTCCAGTCCTGACACTAACCAGCCATGGGTCATTTGCTTCTTCTGGGCCTCAAGGTCTCCATTTGTGAAATGAGTGTTTGCCTTTGTTGTTTTTTTCTTGATCTCTGACTTAATGATGAGAGCTCATGTTCAGGGCTGCCAGATCACATTAAACCTGGGTGACTTCCTGAGCTATTGTCCTTCATAACTGTGAGGATCCTTCTACCACATAACAAACCTAAGGATTCCTTCTTTCAATCCCAGGCTCCACCCTGGACCCTCAACTGACCTCAGTGAGTGGGGCAATAGCTAAAAAATTATGTTGTGTCTTGTGTCTACAAATGTCACTATCAAACAATACCTTTCAGTTCTAATATAGGAAGGGATGGAGAGAGGACACTTTGCCTATCCTCTCCCTCTAGACACTGATCCCAAGAAGATATTTCTAAATCTTCTAAGAAAGAAGACCCCACAGCCTATAATGTCAGAGCTTTCTTATTCCTATGTAACTTCATTCCTCTCTTCTGATGTTAGAGGTGGGTTCCTCCCAGCAGAGTGAGCAGGACAGGCCTTTGGCTCCATCATCCTCCCATTCTAAAAGACTGCTTGTACTGATAATATCTCTGACTCAACACAATGCCATGCTAATGACTTCACTATCATTTTCTCCACTGTGCCAAGGGAAGATAACTCAATAGACTATATACTTTGTCCTGCAATTAACACGTCTTCAGAATCTTCAGAGAAAGACAGGGACTATGAAACTGTACAGCTTGCTTCCAGTTGTATCAGTAGTGTTATCCCTACCCAGGAAGACCAGTGCTATAAAATATGAACATAGGAGGCAGGCATTAAGAAGACTTAGGTAAGTTCCTCAGACTTTTTGGGCCTGCACTTTCACCTATGACATCAGGACCTTCTCTCTGTCATTCTGTGAAACTATGCTTCTCAGCCTTTTATACTTTTGAAGAGAGTGGTCACCCACCTCCCCTCCCCAAAATATTTGTACTACATTTCAGATGTTTTGTTTTCTCCTGTCAACAACCCTGTTGGGTGGATATAAACACATACAGAAAAGTTGAGCACTGGAGAGTTTAAGTGCAGGTGCAGATCACATAGTCACTCAGTTCTAGAGCAATAGAGCTAACCCAGCAAGGATTACATGAAACAAGGAAACTATTCTTTCAGTCTTGCTCTGAGTGCTGTTATAGATCAAGGACTCTAAACCTGGTTGTACCATCTGAAAAACACTTTAAAAATCAGATTCCTGTCCCCAGTTAAGACCTATTATGTCAGAGCGCCTGGGTGGCTCAGTGGGTTAAAGCCTCTGCCTTCAGCTCAGGTCATGATCCCAGGGTCCTGGGATCGAACCCCCCATTGGGCTCTCTGCTCAGCAGGGAGCCTGCCTCCCTCCTTCTCTCTCTCTCTGCCTGCCTCTGCCTACTTCTGATCTCTGTCTGTCAAATAAATAAATAAAATCTTAAAAAAAAAAAAGACGTATTACGTCATAATCTCCATGGACTGAATCCTAAGAATTTGCATGTTTAAATTGACAGGGGATTCTCCTAGTTTGGGAAGTATAGTCCTAGAGTGTTCTTGTAGTACCACAGAATTATATCCAGTCCACAGAAGATTCTAGTACTATTTCCACAGACTTTGACATTCCTCCAAGCTCTTCCAGGGTTCTTCATAGATAGTTAAAAGTTGTAAGGATTACAGACAACTCAGAAAATCATTCAGCCTTGGAGAGGTCTTAGCAAACATCTAGTGTAGTTTTCTACCTGGTGGTTCCATACCCCCTCCCATATGTCTAATGATGAGCTTTCTGTGCTAAACTGAAACACATTTAGTTGGAGAACTCACTAGCTCACAAAGCAGCCCATTTCTTTCTAGACTGATATCTGTATTAGAAATTTTTCTTTTCTTTTCTTTTCTTTAAAGATTTTTTTATTTATTTGACAGACAGAGATTACAAGTAGGCAGAGAGGCAGGCAGAGAGAGAAGGGGAAGCAGGCACCCCGTTGAGCAGAGAGCCCGATGTGGGGCTCGATCTCAGGACCACGGGATCATGACCCAAGCCGAAGGCAGGGGCTTTAACCCACTGAGCTACCCAGGCGCCTCTAGAAATTTTTCTTTAATAAAAGCATGCATCAGAGAGTAAAGAAATAATGAGAAGGCCTCAAAAAAGCAGTTCTTGACATATAGTTGGCACTTAATTACTTGTTGAATGAGTGGATTGGTTAATAATGAAATATGCCATTTAGCTTGGTTATATGCCTTCCTTCCACAAATGAGAGTTGAAGATTCATATAACTCATTTTACTCAATTCATAAAGTGAAAATAGTGGCAGAATTAGGACTAATATAAGGTCAATTGATTTCCAACTCAGTGTTTATGCTTGAGGTTTGTTGGGGAGGTGAGGGACATAGATAGCAAGAGAACCTATTCATTCCAACTCTGCCTTCTTGGGGGCACAGTATCAGAGCTAAGTATCTGCACTCAGATCACCTGGCTTTTAATTCCAAGTTCCCTTACTTATTGGTTGTACAACATTAGGCTTGTCACTTGTTTTCTCTGTACCTTGACTGCTTATCTATAATGGTGATAAAAATTGTATCTATTTAATAAAGCTGTTGTGAGGATTAAATGAGTAACATGTGTACAGTGATAGAAGAGTGTTCCTCCACAGTAAGCTCTGTGTAAATACAGATTGCTGACATTGTTCTTTGTGTTATTGTTGTTATGATATTTATGATAATAATTATTTGGTTAGTTCATCATCCTTTGTTATACTATTTACATAATAATTAATTGTTATTTGGCTAGTTCATTGTCTTTTGTTGTTATTATAATATTTATAATACTTTATCATTATTATTAATCATTTGGCTAGTTCAATGCCCCTCAGTGATGAGGATCTATATTTTTATTTCTTCAAAGATTTGTGAATGCCAAGAAAATGTGTCAGTGACTCGGGAAAGCTGATTTCACAACCCTCTTCCTGTCTCACCCTAAGGACTACCACCACCTTCTACAGAAATCCCATGGGCCTTGCATGGGTTGGGGTTGTAGCTGTGACAATGGATACTGAGATGGATCAGGCAAGAATTTAAGGTAGATTCCAGTCAAATATTTGGGAAATGATTTTCATATATCAAGGCTATTATATTAAGCTATAATGGGGAAATTTCCCTACAATTCACTCACCCAAAACCTATGAGAGCAAACAATGTACCAGAGAAACCAGTATAGTTAATGCTTGATCCAGGCAGGGACTGAGTTTGCATGGGGTTTAGGGTGTGTCAATCACTTCTTGTCCTGTGGCAATCAAAACAAAACAGAAAGAACCTGTCAGAGATAAGGGTAGAAATTCCAGAACTTCCAATCAGAATAATGAAGACAACTAAAGGCACATATAGAGAGGGCCTGCCAAAGCTCCAAACGGGGGGATGGCAGATGCTAAGTAGAGAAGTGTAGAAGTTAGACTGTGTGTGTGGGCGTGGGTGTTGAGGGGATCCTATACTGGTCAGGTGTTAGATAACGCCTGAGCAGGGGGTGAACAAAGCAATAAACAACACATTTATCTAGGACCCTTTATCTTATCTCATACCAACATGAAGAATGAAGGTTATTTTGTTGGTCACATTTTACAGACAGGTGAATTCTATCCCTGGTGAACCAAGTTCTGACTAGAACTGGAAGATCTTCTGCTTTTAGGCATCTGCCTTTTCCTTGGCTGACCCTTTCTGTCATTTCATAAGCAGCGTCTCATTTTAATGCTACACGCTTTTTTCAGTGGGAGACAAAACATCAGTGGTTTGCCATTTTCTTCTGTGGCTGTGTTCTAGCAATGACTTTAAGTATATAGCTGACCACTGCAAACAATTTCCTTCAGACATCAATGTTAGAAGTGCAAGACTTCCCTTGAAAACTATGTATGTTAGAGCATTTGTCTTTCTATATATTCTCTCTGCCAAGAAGTTCAGAACTAATCATTAGTATGAGGTAGAGTAACTGTGTGGGTCACATACTGAATATTTATGCCCTTTTATTGACTCATAACCTGTCCCCCATTGCTTTCTGATTTTCCACATGCAGTTTCATGAAAAAGATTCTATGCCTTCACCCACTCTGGTTCATAGGGAGAATCCAAACCTGTTCTAACCTGTGCCCAGGTATGGAGTGAGGTTTCTCCTGTCTATAGCCCCACACTGGTCGGTGTTCACGACTTCACGCTTTATGCCCAAAACATGTAATGGAAGCTTGTTTGTGGGAAGAGGAAGCTGAGCAGAGCCTCTGTTTGGGCGATGATCTCTAGTGGGTGGAGGTCCTCCTGAAAGATCATCCATTTCAATTCAGTCCCTTGATCCTGAGGAGGCCCTGTCTTTCCTCTGACCCATCCTTACTCAGCCTTCAACATTCTCTCCTCTTTAATCAGCAGTCTTTATAGCCTTTAGAGGCAAGAAAACATTGCTCATCTATCATGCACTGACTCCTAGGCATCTCAAAATTTTGTTTTCAAAATAGAAGACACCATATCTGGACACTTGGATTAAACAAATATGTCATTGTGTGGTAGATGGCAGGAGCCAGATTTCTCATTGAGAGTTTATAGATAGCAAGAAAGAGGTGTTGGCTAAGAAAGAATTCATTGATAATTTAAGCAAACAGGCATTTATTTGGGCAACTAGAATTGCAATTCTGGAGACAGATTCAGGTAGAAACCTAATTCATGTTCTGAGAAAGATCAAGAATGGGCAGACTTATAAAAGCAAAAGATCATGAGTACAGTTGTCATTTATGTCCTCTCTGATTGAAACCAGGTTAACTGGAGTTGGTTGGGTTAATATGCAAGTAAGGGATTGAAACTTGTCAAATCACCTTGGCTCCTTTGCAGTGAAGAATGTGAATAATTTAGGTGTCATAGTGAGGAGGGAGATAAGTTCAAGCTGAGGGCTTACAGCTGGTAAAAATTTAGTTTGTCCCATGAGGATGTACATAAATTCCTTTCTCTATGGCCTCCTAGCTAAGCTTGCTTACTCCATTTTGAATCTCCTTTCACAAAGCCTAGAATAAACCATGATTGAATTAGAGTTGCAGACATCAATATGAACTCATGTTCAGCTTATTATAGACACAGATGGATAACTATGGAAATAGTTGTAAGTATGCGTGCAGACACTGGTTAATATACACATATATATTTCTAAGAACTGTCTATTGAGAAGACCTGGAAGCAATGACATCCCAGGAGCAATGAAAAATCAGCTCCCAGATCTTGGTTTACAATACAGTTCCCCAATAAAAGAAACCAGGATCTATAAAGAACTCCTCAAACTCAACACACACAAAATAGACAATCATATCAAAAAATGGGCAGAAGATATGAACCAATGTCCATGAAGATATGTCCAGAAGATATGTCCAATGAAGACATACAAATGGCTATCAGACACATGAAAAAATGTTCATCATCACTAGTCATCAGGGAGATTCAAATTAAAACCACATTGAGATACCACCTTACACCACTTAGAATGGCCAAAATTAGCAAGACAAGAAACAACATGTGTTGGAGGGGATGTGGAGAAAGGGGAACCCTCTTCCACTGTTGGTGGGAATGCAAGTTGGTGCAGCCACTTTGGAGAACAGTGTGGAGATTCCTCAAGAAATAAAAATAGAGCTTCCCTATGATCCTGCCATTGCACTACTGGGCATTTACCCCAAAGATACAGATGTAGTGAAAAGAAGGGCCATCTCTACCCAATGTTTATAGCAGCAATGGCCACAGTCGCCAAACTGTGGAAAGAACCAAGATGCCCTTCAATGGACGAATGGATAAGGAAGATGTGGTCCATATACATTATGGAGTATTATGCCTCCATCAGAAAGGATGAATACCCAACTTTTGTAGCAACATGGACAGGACTGGAAGAGATTATGCTGAGTGAAATAAGTCAAGCAGAGAGAGTCAATTATATGATTTCACTGATTTGTGGAGCATAACAAATAGCATGGAGGACAAGGAGAGTTAGAGAGGAGAAGGGAGTTGGGGGAAATTGGAAGGGGAGGTGAACCATGAGAGACTATGGACTCTGAAAAACAATCTGAGGGTTTTGAAAGGTCTGGGGGTGGGAGGTTGGGGGATCCAGGTGGTGGGTATTGGAGAGGGCACGGATTGCATGGAGCACTGGGTGTGGTACAAAAACAAGGAAAACTGTTATGCTGAAAAAAAAATTAAAAAAAATTAAAAAAAAAAAAGAAAGAAAGAAACCAGGGCTTACAAAACAAATATCTGAATCTAGGTCTGGAGCAAAGATTATGCAAAATAAGCCTGAATCATGTAATAAATAGTGCCCTAAAGCAAAGAAGTGCTTAAAAAAGAAACCACTGGAGTTGTGTCAAAGGGATGCAGGAACTGATTGAGAGGGATCCCAAAGCCGGAAGGGTATGAACAACAAAATAGAAAGCAGGGCATTGGATTACAACCCAAAGTATAAAACAAATAGATATCCAATATCTGTGAGTCAATACTGATATTAATAAATGATAAAGTTTAAGAAAAGAGAAACAGGAGAACAAACAAATCTTTCTACAGAAAATTCCCAAATAATTTATAGTAGTGTCCCCTCAAGGAGGTGGAACATAAGTCCCTACCTCTTTGAATGGGCTGCGTTTAGTGACTTCCTTCCAAAGGGAAGAATATGTTAAGGGAAAGAAAAAGAGCACCTTTATGGTGGGAAATCTGCAAACACTGCCACAGCCAGATAGTCAGTCGATTTCAACAGTGATGGCGTGTTGACAGCACGTACCCCTGATACAATGGCTTTACCCCTGTGATCTGTCTTCCTCCCCCAGATCTGTAAACCCATTACAAGCAGGAGGAAAACACCACACAAATCTCAGTTGAGAGACATTCTACAAAATACCTAACTGGCACCCCTCAAAACCCTCAAGGTCACCAAAAATAAGATAGGTCTAAGAAACTGTCACAGTCGAAAGGATCCTATGGACACAAGACAACTGAATGTAATGTGGTACCCTGATTGGAATCCAAGAACACAAAAAAGACATTTGGTAAAAATTAAGGAAACCCAAATAGAATATGGCTATGGACTTTAGTTAATAATAACATATCAATATTGATTCTTCAATGATAATAATTGTACCATGCTAATATAAGAGCTGAACCACAGGGGAAACTGGATGCAGGGAACATGGGAAATTCTCTGTACCATCTTTGCAACTTTCCTATAAATCTATGACTATCCTGAAATAAAAAAGCCAATTTAAAAAATTAAGTGCACGACATGGGTTACCCGCGTGGCTCAGTCGGTTAAGTGTCTGACTATTGATTTCAGCTCAGGTCATCATCTCCGAGTTGTGGGATGGGTCCGTGCTCAGAGCAGAGTTTGCTTGGGATTCTCTTTCTCCCTCTCCCGACCCCACCTGCACTTGCGCATGCTCAAGCATGCTCTCTCTCTCAAATAAAATATTCAAAAACAATTAATTGCATCCCAAGTATAATTACAACTAACGTTTATTGAGCTAAATACATCAAAATATGTCACCTATAATATCATATATAATTCCTTCTACAGTTTCAAGAGGCACATATTATTATTTTGCCTAATTTTCAGATGAGAAAACTGAGGCATAGAAAGGCACAGAAACTTGCATAGGATCTCAGGGTTTTCAAAGATTTGAAAAGGGTTTCATCTGACAGAGTTCTGAATGTGTACTTGTTCTGTTAAGGAAGGTTTGGCCTAGGACTCACATAGACGTATGTAAAAACAGGATGTGATTTTATAAAATAATGTAATACATTACATGAAAATTAAAAATCAGGTAATCTGATAGGTTGTAATATGAAAAAAATAAGTTTCATTCTAAATAATCTGTGCATGCACTTATTTCTTTGGGTCCTTTTAGATGTATCTATTCACTTCCCTAATGAAGCACAATGAATAGCTCATGTTTGTCATCCCTTCCCTCCCTTCCTCTTATTTAGACATGTTTTATTTTTCATGCTGCTATTTTTTACCTCTATAACTTTAAATACTGTAACTCAAACCCTATTTCTTCACTTGCCAAGTTGAGGCAGCATTTCTTGACTTGCCACTAAATAAGAGATGAAATCAGCATGACAAATTTGTTTTGTCTTAGGATGATTTTGGTTTCATATTTTATTAATGGCAGCTTGACAAGAATAAGTAAAGGCAATAACTTTTTATTATTATTTGTGCTCTATTATAGAGCATATAGGATATAATAAAGGAGGGTCTGTCAAACATTGTAAAGGAAACTGCTGAAAATGCATTGGACCCAGGGTGTGGGCTAGGCTGGCATCCCTAGTGGTGACCATTGGCCAAGCTAGGGAGAACATGTTTCTTCCAACTGGAGATCCAGGAAAGCAGGACACTCTGAGGGAGGGTGTGAGATCACTGGGCTCAGTTCAGTTCCCAGGTGAGAATGTCCCTTCTGGAAGGCTTCAGTAGAAACTGGTGAGGACAGAGCCCTATTGAATTAGTCACCCATGTTTCCCCAGGTGAATTGAACATGGCTCTTTCAAAGTCACTAAGGGACCTTAAAACATTTCACAACTTGCTTTCTAAAAAAAAATTTCTATGTTCTTCATTTAGTCCATATAATATTGAAGTACCATTTAAAAAATTAGACAAAAAAGCATATTAAATAACATATGTCAAAATGAAATTTTCTAATTAGAAAATGTTAAAAATGTAGAACTACTTGACACTTGTTAAAAGTATGATGTTAGATATAGTAAAACAAAACAAAAGCAAAATAAAACAAAACACAACCCTGGTGGTGTCACTTACCTATTTCGACTATCCCTATAAATGTAAGATTTTGGATATAGGACATTTTGTACAAAATGTGAAGTCTGCATTTTTAGTCATTTATTATAAAACAAAGGTAAATGTACAATATTAAAATGAAACCATACTGAAACCACACCAAAGAAGACACTCATAATATTGACATTTTTGATGTACAGACATATTTTGAAAGTGTGAGGATGTCAAATGCAGACTTTATGAAGAAAACTAATGATCAAATCACTGTGTTTTTTTGATGTAGAAATTTCAAAATCAATTTGATACAGACTAAATAGTGTAGTATGCAATAATATATAAGGTGAACAATTATTGAAGGGAATCCAAGTACTGATTAGGGAACCTGAGTAGGTCAATTATTAAATAGTACTCTTGTTAAAGAAAATTTGTTTCTGTCAAAACTTTTCTTTAAAATTGTTATTTGGTGAATCTACATGTTCAGTAAAGAACAGAAATAAAAAATAGGGGAAAAAAAAGACATTCTTACATATTAAGCTTTGCACAATCAACCAAATATTGATTTTTTTTTTCCTTAGGGAAAAATTAGATTTTTCCCCCAGAATTCTCTCACACAAACATAACTGAACATCTAAAATCAAGGATATTTAAAGCTTATCAGCTAAGTATGGAATTTCAAGCAATGGTATGTCAAAATTCATAAGGCCTTGTTTTATTCAACAAATAGCATCCTTTTTCCCTCAATAGGAGAAAGCATTTAATTTTTTTTTAAATTATAGATTTCATGACAGTAAAATAAGTAGATATTTTCCCAGTTTCTCAGAAAGTGTTTTTTTTTTCCTTTAGTTAGAGTAATTTTTTAGAATATTTATTTATTTGCGTGATAGAGGGAGAGTGTGCATGTGGTCGTGGTGGTGTAGGGAAGCAAGGGGACAAGGAAAAAGAATCTAAAGCAGACTCCCTGATGAGCACGGAAACCCATGCAGGACTCTGTCCCAGGACCCCAAGATCATGACCTGAGCTGAGGTCAAGAGTTGGACACTTAAATGACTGAGCCACCAGGTGCCCATAACTAGAGTAATTTTTTGACATAGTACTCACTCTTGCTCTTGAACAAAAGAAATCCCTTTCTCCAAAATGATTTTCTTAAATGGAGACATTTTCATTGCCTCTAAGATGCAATCTTCCAGAAGAGTTTGAAAAAAGTCTTCATAGTCTTTGACAATTTTAGAATTCCAATTCTAAAAATTTATCTTAGGAAAATTACTAAGAATAATCGCCAATGAGAATGTTTATTTTACTGTTATTTAGACAGCAAAAAGGTGGAAGCAATGTAAGTGCCCCAAATCAGGAAACTACACAAATCATTGTGTGTTCACAGGATGGACTATAATAGTGTCGATCAATATTTATTAGCACGTAAGTGTATTAACATTGTACTGTTAAGTAAAACATCAGGTTACAAAGTATTCTGAAATGATCCTGTTTTGTGTTTTTTTATGAAGTTTGGAAATAGATCCTGAAATTATTAGTAGTTATTTTAGGGTGATAAGATTTTTGGTTGGTCTTCTAAAGATACAAATGTAGTGATCTGAAGGGGCATGTGCACCCAAATGTTTATAGCAGCAATGTCCACAATAGCCAAACTATGGAAAGAACCTAGATGTCCATGAACAGATGAATGGATAAAGAAGATGAGGTATATATATACAATGGAATACTATGCAGTCATCAAAAGAAATGAAATGTTGCCATTTGTGATGATGTGGATGGAACTAGAGGGTATTATGCTTAGCGAAATAAGTCAATCAGAGAAAGACAACTATCATATGATCTCCCTGATATGAGGAAGTCGAGAAGCAACATGGGGTAGGAAGGGTAGGAGGGTAGGAAAAGAATAAATGAAACAAGATGGAATTAGGAGGGAGACAAACCATAAGAGACTCTTAATGTCACAAAACAAACTGAGGGTGGCTGGGGAGAGGGGGCTAGGGAGAGGGTGGTTGGGTTATGGACTTTGGGGAAGGTATGTGCTATGGTGTGTGCTGTGAAGCATATAAACCTGGCGATTCACAGATCTGTACCCCTGGGGCTAATAATACAGTATATGTTAATAAATAAATAAATTAAATTAATTAAAAAAAAGATTTTTGGTTGGTTTTTATCATCTTCCTTATGCTTATTTACAATAAAACATCTTTATACAGGTGTGCAGCATTTGTATAGTGAGAAAAATTACACATTCAAAATTATAATTATATAAAATTATGCTCTCTATATATGCTTATATAGAGATATAGATCATAGCAGAGGCAAAAACAAGGTTCCAGCCTTCAAAAGGATTGCTAAGCTGTGAAAATTGACATCTTGTGTTTTGGGAATCATAGACAGGCTGATTCTTTGCTCTGAGGCTGGGAAATAGAATCTGCTGGACTGGGTTAAAAACATATTTTTAGTGTCCCTCAGAAAATGAGAATCAATTAAAAATTATTACCTAGAACTTATACTGATATGCAACCATGTTGAGCCTCAAGCCCTGCCAGGTCCCTCTGCTTTATCTCAGGTCCTCTCCGCCCCAGGACAATAGTGCTTTGGGAGTTGCAGTTTCATACCTGGCTTATGAGCTATTTCATATGATCATCTCACTCCCGGCAGTCTAGCCAAGTTGAAACCCATGTCATGGGCAAGTGTTCCACTTGCACATGAAAAGTATCATTTCTACCTGGAAAGATCCTCACCTTTGTTCCACCCCCAACACCAAAGTCTGCTTATCTTTAAAAGCCTTGTTGAAATGCTGCCTACCCTGGAGGTTGTTCTTCCCCAAACAACATGTTCTCTCTGCTTCAGAGTTCTCCTTCCAAGGAAACCACTTCTGATCTACACCATCAAGATGAGTCTTTCCCTTCTGTCCTTGACCTTTTATACTCTTTTCCCCCTTTTGAGTTCACACAAAGTGAGAAAAAAAAAGAAGTATGTCAATCACCTTAAAATTATATTTATTAGTCTGCATATTTCAATATACAATGTACATTGTTTCTCCCATGAGATTTTAAGCTTTTCTAGAACAGGGATAAATTTCCTATTACATCTGTTAACACAGAGCACAATATAGAGTAGGTGCTCAGCATGCTTGTCACACAAAAGTTTTCAATGTAGGGATTCTGCAATGACATAGGTTGATGGCTACAAGGATGCTGAGACAGAAATCTCAAACCATGTGTCTCTGAAGCAATACCAGTCAACATCTTGGAAGGAAAGGGGCAGCATCCACCTGTAGAAGCCTTTGCCCCTCAGGTGACCTCAGGGATTTACAGCAGCCAGGGCTCTGACTCCACATTGTTGGCTGAGCTGAGTGCATAGAAGACAGAAGTAGGAGTCCAGCTTATGGGGACCAGGAAGTGTTTCCCAGCCCTAAATAGAGGGTGCAAGCCTGAGCTTCCCAGCAGCATGAATTCAGAAAGGTGGATGAGAGAGAGCCACTGTACCTATGTCCCTGTCCTTAGGGCTGGTCACCTCAGCACTCCTCCTCTTTGATGTGGTAGACTGAGCCACCACTGAGACAGCGGGGCTTCTTGCGGTGAGCCCTCTGAGAGCTGCCAGGGCTCTGCTCCCCGGGCTTTTGGGAACCAGAATTGTAGCCTCCTGAACAGAGGTCACAGCAAGGAGCAGAGCAGGGAGCCAGGGAGGCATTTGGGCACTGTCGAGGTGAGCATTTGGGAGCATTAGGAGGCTCCCAGGATTCCTGCTTCTGTTGTGACATCAGTGGACTAGCGAGTGGAAGCTGGAAGGCAAAAGAGAATTCAATTAAGTCAGGTCCTTGAATTATCTGTTTCTTTTCTCCATGGGCTAGAGCTGTCAAAATAGAGCTGGCATTTACAATATGCTAAATCCCTCCTAGGAGGGACAGAAATGGATCTGAGTGGGTACATTTGAGGAGTAAGCCATTGGTGGGAACTCCCAGGGGACCCACTCACCAACAACCAAGCTATTAACTTAATCCTCTTCTTAAACAAAGTGTAGCTGAATTGGGCAGACTGTCTACTTTCCCAGACCAGGGTCCACCACGGTCAGATGTAAAGGAATAATGAATCTCTACTCTTTTTTTTTTCATTCAGTTTTACTTTGTCCTGAGATTCCTAAGCTTGGGTATATCTTCTCCACTTCTTTAACCCTCTGACTTCTATTACTTTTTTCCATGTTAAATCATTTGAGGTCTTTTGTAGGGACCACTTCCCTTCCCTTCTCCCTGCCCCAAAGCTCTCTTACCTGGGTTATCTACTCCCTGGGCAGAAGCAGAGGAGAGATCGGGCCTGCCTTGGCCACATCTGAGTGAGGGACATGCAAGTGTTTCCTCACCCAGAGGTAGCCTCACCCTAGAGAAGGATGTGTGGACAAATCATTCCAGGAGGAGGAGTCTGGAGGGAGGCCTTTTATCCATCCTCCACTGAAGCCTTCCGGCTACATATTATTGGAGGGCAGCTGTGCATGGACTATTTATGCAGATGTTTCACAATTCCCAGGTCTGAATTCCTCAGTGGAATGCAGCAGGATGTGGGCCAAAGGGAAACCCTTACAAATGAGTGAACAGAGACTGTGACCTTCAGTGTGGCCTGAGTGTAGTGGGTACACTGGCTAAGTCTCTGTGGACTGAGAGGGATCTGATCACTGTGGAGATCTCTCTGGGACTGGTGGGGAAGGACCAAGTTCAATATCACCCAAGTCTGATGAAAACCCTTCTTTCCACCCCCTCTCTTCATCCATGCCTTCTACCACTCAGCTCAAGGCCACCACCTCCATGATGACTTGCCTGGTCCAACAGGCCACGTCCGAGTCCTCCCTACTCTGAATGTCAGAGACACTTCTCATAGTCTTTATGGCTGCTTATGACCAAGGTGACCTACATATTTGTCCTATCACCTTTTTTACACAGTTCCTTGATGACAGGACCTTGTCTTTTATCACTTCTAAATTCCTAGGACCTGATACTGTCCCTGACATAAAGAAGATGCTCATTAAGAATGGAGTAATCTATATGCCATTAAAATAGAGTATTTGGGGAGAACAAAAAATACGGAAAAAACAAAATGCACTCATTTTTGTTCTGTGGCTCAAATCTCAATCTCTTGTGTTCACCATCCACACCTAAGGATTCAGGGAACACCCTTCCATAAATAGTACAGAGAAATGGGTGGGCGTACCTCACCTTACAGATCAGGCTGAGGAGAGTGTGGAGAGTAAGATATTCATAAACCCTGCTACCTCTTCATGCAAAGGGGAGTTTTTATGCAATTATTGGGAGACCCCAAAGAAAAGCTTTCTGCAGCATGAAAAAATTTTCTTTATCTTTTATGAAAATTGACATCAGCACATTTTGCCTATGCTTAGGGTGGGAACAGTCTCTTTGAAATATGGTCCCTCACTTCTGGAGGTCTCTCTCTCAGAATTGCTGCACACATGCCAGCTAAGTGAAAAGGTCTTATTTAAACTCCTGTGGTAGGAATAGTGTCTTTCTTGCCTCTGTGTTCTCAGTGCATACCACACAATAGGTACTCAGGAAACAGGTGAATAAGTGAAAAAGATGAGCAACTAGAAGAAAATTCTGATTATAAGGGCTGTCTTCAAAGACTTTAAGTCATACATAGGACAAAGGTGAACAAGGTTGGGCTGCGCAGTGACAGATAAGGACCTAACCAGTGTGGAGAGTGGGACAAGATCAGAGGAGAAGCTACTGGAGCTAATCCAGCAGGACATGACTATCAGGGTCTACCTGCTTCATTTGGGAAGGCTACCAGGGTTAAGCAGTCTTTGACATGTAGTTTGGTTGAAGGGAGAGGAAATTCCTTGTAAGTGAAATAGAGATGGTATGGGTAGTACAATGAGAATAGAGAAAAGGATAGACAATAGAGAAGGTGGGAGATGGTACGAAGTCTTTCTCAGTCTATTAGAACAGAACCCTGGGACCACCTGAGTTAGGTGCTTCAGAGATCTGACCCCTTCTTCCCTTACTTCCTTCACCTTCCTCTCTCTCCTCTTCCTTTTCCCTTCTCCTCCCTGTCAGATATCAAAAGGAACCCTACCTGCTCTTCAGAAAGTTGTCATGGACACTAAGCACTGGGAGAGCAGAATAACTCTTGTCTTATTATACCAGTGGCTCCTTTTCCCCAGCTGGACTCATACCACATAAGCCTGCACTCTGACACTTTATGCATCTCAAATGTGTTTCTTTAGGGTTAACTAACAACTACCCAACCCCTAACCAAGGGCTAAGGACTCTTCTTGGAGGTTCTTCTCTGGGCGAACATCCCTGCTTCCTCTCCAGGTCTGCCAGACCACTCCTCATAATGCTTGCCTCCTGAAGTTTCAGTGTCCAGTCATTTTCAGTACAACAAAGTTCATCATGCTGTTGGGGACTGACCCACCTGAATTAACACTTTCAGTGGATGAGAGCAGCATCTAGCTTTGCCCATTCCCTGAAGTAAGCCACCTTGAAGTCCCTGAGTGGTCCACCGTCCTACTAGACTTCCAAGTGCAGTGAGTTTCATGGCAGATCTCAGACATGGGCCTCCTTCCAGTGCCACTCCATTTCTCCCTGGCTAAGGTGTCTATAGGCATGACTCTCTAATTTGATATTTGCTAAGAACTTACTGTGTCCAGGATACAAGAAGTAGTAAGAGCTTTGTACTTCAGAGCTTTCACTCTAGAGATAATGCAGACACATTACACATTAATAGATAACATAAGACAGTATGTGAAAGATGACCAAACAGAGAGACAGGCAAATTCTGATTGCTGAAAATGGAACTAGTCAGCTTAAATATACCAAACAGAGTGATAGTATTTTGAATGTTGTTGCTCCTGCTATTATTAGCATCTCATACTAGTCTGGAGACAGAAGCCCATCTCTGAGAATTATCCACTCCTTCTCATTCCCAGTCCCAATTTTTGACCCTATTCCTCTAAGCAATAGATGTTTCCTTTGCTCCTTCCTCCTTCCCTCCCTCCCTTCCATCCTTCCTTCCTTCTTTCCTTCCTGCCTTCTATGCTTCCTTCCCTTCTTTCTTTATTTCTGGCTGTCTTTTTTTTTTTTTTTTTTTTTTTGTACTTGATTTTCTTCTAAGAATATCCTCCCCTCTACTCTTTACCTTTGGAAAATTTTCCAAGCACCAATATGAACCCTATGTCCTCTGAAATGCACTCCCTGATAATGTCTGACAAAGAGAAGCTTCCAGAGGCTTTATTGTTTGTCGTACATGTAATTTATTATTGTGCATATTTTTATGTGAGATTGAAAACATTTCAAGCATGAGGATATGTCTCATATATTTCCTATCCTTTTTCAGTGTATGCAGTGGGTCAATGCACATACCAGTTATTAGGTCTTCAAAAATCCCTGCAGTAGAGGCTTTTATGATATTGAGGTATGTTGCCTCTATCCCTGTATTTTGAAGAGGTTTTTTTTTTTTTTTTAAGATTTTATTTATTTATTTGAGAGAGAATGAGTGAGAGAGAGCATGAGAGAGGAGAAGGTCAGAGGGAGAAGCAGACTCCCCAAGGAGCTGGGAGCCTGATGTGAGACTCAATCCTGGAAGTCCTGAATCATGACCTGAGCCTAAGGCAGTCACTCAAACAACTGAGCCACCCAGGCACCCTGAAGAGTTTTAATCAGCAAAGGATGCTGTATTTTGTCAAATGCTTTTTTTTTCCATCAATTAAGAGGATCATGTGGTTCTTGTCTCTTCTTTTGTTAATGTGATCCATCATGTTGATTGATTTGCAAATGTTGAACCATCCTTTCATCCCAGGAATGAACCCCACCTGGTCATGGTGAATAATCCTTTTAACTGTACTGTTGAATCCTACTGGCTAGTATCTTGTTAAGTGTTTTGGCATCCATATTCATCAGGGATATTGGTCTATAATTCTCCTTTTTGAGGGGCTCTTTGTCTGGTTTTGGGATCAGAGTAATACTGGTCTCATAGGAGGAGTTTGGAAATTTGCCTTCCATTTCAACTTTTTGGGAACAATTTCAGTAGAATGGATATAATTTCTTTTTTAAAATGTTTGGTAGAATTCCCTTGGAAAAACATCTGGCCCTGGGCTCTGGATTTTTGGGAGGTTTTTGAATACTCTTTCAATTTTTTGCTGATTATTGGTCTGTTCAGATTGTCTGTTTCTTCCTGTTTCAGTCTTGGTAGTTTATAAGTGCCAGGAATGTGTCCATTTCTTCCAGATTGCCTAATTTGTTGGCATATAGCTGTGGTAATAAGTTCTAATAATTGTTTCTAGTTCCTTGATATTGGTCATGATTTCTTCCCTTTCATTCATGATTTTATTAATTTGGGTCCTTTCTCTTTACTTTTGCATAAGTCTGGCCAGAGTTTTATTGATTGTATTAATTCTTTCAAAGAACCAGCTTCCAGTATTGTTGATCTGTTCTACTGTTCTTCTTGTTTCTATTTCATTGATTTCTGCTCTAATATTTATTATTTCTCTTCTCCTGCTTGATTTAGGCTTTATTTGCTGTTCTTTCTCCAGATCCTTTATTTAGGTTTAAGGTTAGCTTGTGCATTTGGGATTTTTCTAATTTTTTTAAATTTTTTTATTTTTTAAATTAACATACAATGTATTATTAGCCCCAGGGGTACAGGTCTGTGAATTGCCAGGTTTACACACTTCACATTACTCACCATCAAGCATACCTTCCCCAATGTCCAAAACCTAACCACCCTCTCCCTACCCTCCTCCGCCCAGCCACTCTCA